TTCAGGGGTTCTCAAACCTTAGGGTACACAAGAATCGCCCAAGGAGTTTGGTAAAATGCAGCCCCCCCGGGCACTACCCCATGCCCGCGCTTTGAGTACTTCTGCTGTACAGTACCCATCCACCCGCCCACTCTAATACTAGGAGCCTGGGCTGCAACTTTTCCCCTAGGAGGGAGGCAAGCTTGTATCTGAAGTTCAGGCACATGCTGAGTTGTGCGGGCAGGGAGACAAACAAAACCGCCAAGCCTCTAGTAATTCCTTTCATACCCACACCTTCTGCCTTTCACTTGGAACTACTGACCTCCTGCCTTATCCTGGCAATTCCCCAAGGACCTTGCGACCAGTGCCCAGTTTCCCTTGCGGGTTCTGCTCAGTGTTTGCTCCAAGAAGCTGCTGTTAGATGCTAAATGCTCTTTCTTGTCACTCTCTGGACGCTACCTATCAGCTTGTTAGGTGAACTAGAACCAGTCTCACCAGCTAGGAGTCAACCAGTATCTTTAGCACAGTGGTTCTCGCACTTGGGTGCTGTGTCAGACTCCGCCCTGGATAATTTGCATTCGTCACAGGTTCCCAGGAGAGGCTGACGCTGTAGATCCAGGACCACACTTTGAGAACCACTGCTTTTAGTAAAGAGAACAAATGCCCAGAGGTCCTGGAGCCAAGATCCCAACGTCTGTCACACTCTCTTTCCTGCCATTTTTTGAGGGTGTCACCAACCTAATCGGGAATAAACAACAGTTAGATGGTTGAGGCCTCGTCTCTTTGAGCATCTTGGGGGATTTCTTTCCGGCCCAACATCTATGTTCTGTGTCACAGCTCATCACGTATTGGTGAGGTTGTAAGGCTTTTCTTCAGCTTTTGTTCTTCAGTACCTTTTTTTTTTTTTTTTTGAAGTAATGCTCATACGAGCATCGCAAGTGGGTGGTGGAATTACTTGAGGCAGAGACATTTGGGGGGCAGCAGAATTCTCTTGTCACCCTTTGTGATGATCGGGGTTTAATAGAAAGATGAAATATTATAGGATGGTGGGGGAGAGTTCGTGAGAATTTGTTGGTGACTATAATTTGCTTCAGCAGGGGAGAGGAATTAGAACATATACAGTCATTTATAAACTGCTCAAGGGGCTTACACTGGGAGATGATATACAATGAGCTAATAAATTATTTGGAACAGATAAGTCAACATATCATGCGTATAAAGTAGCTCGTGACGAAGTGCTACCATTAGGCTTTCTGCAAACTATGACTTTGCAAATAAGTGACTAGGTAGATTTCCCCATTTTCCCTCCTCTGTCCATTCCCCAAAGTTAGATTCAGCAGGGACGTGTGGCCAGGGTTGAGGTGAAGGGAACACCACTCTTTTGACGATGAGACGCTGGAATCTTCTATATGTAAGAGTTTCCCTGAGAGGAAGACACAATGGAGAACATGGGGGGTGGGGGCGCAAAATCAGCCTAGGGGTCTGAATCAGTCCAAGGCGTGGAAGGAAAATTGATTTGATGGAACCAGAAAAAGCGGGTCAGGAATGGAGAGGAAAGAGCCAGCCAGGATGTGAGTGTGGGCGAGCTTGCCAACGAAGGTCAAGCGCAAGCAGCCGACCACCTGGCCACGGGCGAGGCGCCAGGATGCGGATTACAGAGGACTTGAGCGACAACTCCTCTTCCCTCTAAACGAGTTCTTGGAGAAGGCAGAGGAAAAAGCTCCCTTCTTCCAAGGCTAAGTGGGTGGATCAGGGCTGCACAAGCCATTAAAGCCTACCCTGCCGCCCTGGTGCCCTGAGCCGGCGAGCGAGCCTGCTGCGTCCCGGCTGGGTGTGGATGGGCTGCTTTCGGGTCTCCGCATACCATACATCCGGGAGCTTTTATGAGGTAAGGGCAGAGTCACAGATGAGGCTGGAGCGCTTTGCTGTGATTTTCTTTTTTTCCCCTCCCCAAATGCAGACACATTTGGCAAATCAAGTTCCCTAGCCGGGCTGGGGGCTCGTGACCCATAGCGGATGACAGCAGGGGACAGCCGGGACCGATTCTTGGAAGTGGTGGGTCAGTTCTTTGGTCAACAGTCTTTATAAAGAGAGCTGGAGCAGGGGTTTGTGGAAGGCTGGTGTTTTCTGCTGGCCCTGTCGCTTCACTGTGGTCAGTTACAAGACCAAAGCAGAGTGGCTTGGGTGGGGTGGGGGGCTGCTCAGCCATCATTTCACCTCTTGCAGTCGCTGCTTCTACGAGGACCAAAAAAGTGCATTTGTGTTATCAGGCAGTAGAAATAGAAACAGCTGAAATGGTTCTAATAGCCGAAGGGGAGGTGGGCCGTATGCCAGTGTGTAGGGAGCGGAGCAGAATAACCACACTTCACTATCAAGCTACTCCTGTAAATATTTGCAAACGTCCCTTCAAAGCTCCAAAGCTTAGGACAGGATCATTGGATGATTTGCTTAGATGAAGAAGAAACAAAATTGACCTCATGGTCCGCGACAGCCATAAAAAGAAAGCGTGTGTATGGGCAGAAGAGCAGAAAGGGGGGGGAAATGGCCCAAAGTTTAATAAACACCAAAGGGAATAAAAATAAATCTCAAGAGCACTTATTTACACACTTGATGGAAGGATAAGATCGGGGCTGGTGGGTGTGAAAGGTGGGAGTTTGTGGGAAGGCCTGTGGGGGTTCCACAGAAAGGGAAAGAGGGACGGGAAGTAGGTGTTTACCCATCCTAATGACAGGAAAGACACTGAATGAGTTTTGCTTTTCCAGGATGCTCATTCAAAGCATCTTTGCAGCTTCTGCTACCTAATGGGGAGGCCATGGGAAGATGAATGCAGCCACTAGGCCTGTGAAGGGTCCTGGCCAAACTGGAGGGTGTGCGAAGCCAGAGAGCATGGCCCCAGCCTTGCCCAGGCTTTCTTGCCTGGGTGTCCGGCCCATTTTCAGCTGAGCTGGTCAGGCTGGTGCCAGCCTGTCCAGTCACCTGGGGGTGTGCATGTACAGAGGAAAGACCGGTTTCTTCCTAGCAGCTACCTTTACAAATTGCAATGCTAGGGGGCTCCAGAAACCTTCCAGCTTGTATGAACTGCCCACTAATTATGTCACGGTTGTAATGCCCTGGGCCATTCCTGGGTTGGCATGGATACTTGCTTTTCTCCAAAACCTGGATGCTTTCAATTTTGGGGTTTTGTTTGCTTATTGGCTTGTTTCTGAGCCTTCCGGCTCACGCGCTACGAAGGCTCACTTTACACAGTTGTTGGTAAAGCAGTCACTGGGCAGAGCATGGATTGGAATTCACTGCTCCCCATAAGCTGCTCTCTGAGACTCCAGGACATGGGGAAGGGATGGGGCCAGGCTCTCTGGTTCTGAGGATAAAAAATTGCAGAACCCTTAAGCTGAGGACATCTTGGTGTGTTCCTAGCATTTTTTTAGTGTAACCATCAGAGCACGGATTTCCCAAGAAATCACGAAAGGGATTTATTTCTGTTTTTTTTTTTTTTTTTTTTTTTTTTTTTTTTTTTT